CCCGGCCCTTGGCCTTGTTGACCCTCCCCCGGTTGGGCTGGGCCCATGGCTCCAGCCTGGCCAGGTCCCCCTGCAGAGCCCCCTCCCCCCAGCAGACCCACACTCCCCCCAGCTCGGTGCCATCTGCAAACTTACTGAGGGTACACTCAATCCCCTCGCCCAGGTCATGGATGAAGATGTTAAACAAGACCGGCCCTAGGACTGAGCCCCAGGGGACACCCCTCGTGCCCAGCCGCCAGCTGGATTTAGCTCCATTCCCCACAACGCTCTGGGTTCGGCCATCCAGGCCGTTTTTTACCCAGCAAAAGTACACCCATCTAGGCCATGAACCACCAGCTTCTCTAGGAGAATGCTGTGGGAGACTGTGTCAAAGGAGGATCATCTCCTGCAAGCCAGGATTCCCATCAGGAACACCACACAAGCTGCAGCACCCCCTGCGTGCCTCACCTGTGCTGTTAGAGTCAGGGCTTACCTGCTGCCGCAACCACAATATCAGCACGGATCGTGTGTTGCTTCAGCTCCTCCTTGGGGGTGTAGCGGTGGGATATGGTGACTGTGGCATCGCCTGCAAGAGCCGTTACACAGAGTGCTGTAATTCACTGTGCTACCCAAACCCAGCCACTTCTAAATCCTCCCCTTCAAGGCCACCCATGTATTTATCAGGAACACCCGAGCCCGCTGACAAACCCCTGGGAACAGCCTACAAAGTCAGAGGGAGGGAGCTGGGATGGAAGAAGATAAGGACTCACTGAAGGCGGCTCCAAAATGTTACAATACCATGTGCAGAGTTAACCCATCAGCCTTGACCACAGCCCATGTTATGGGCCAGAGTCCCCAAGGCACTCCAGAGACTGGTTTAGGAGCCCAAAGAGGCCAGCATGGCAGGCTGAGGGCTTTCTTCCGCAGCTGTCTGGCACACAGGCTCTGAGGCCACCAAGCCCCTACCTCCTGGGCGCTCGTGCCTGCCATCCGTATGCAGCAACATGGCGATGGGCATGCCCACGTTCTTCGACCTGCCAGCCACAACCACATTCTTCCCCAGCGTTGGGATGCCTGCAGAGGACAAGATGGAGTCTTAAGACAAGTACAGGCTGGAGTTACTCCAGACAGCAGCCAAGCACTGCAGCAGGAGCAGCTTACCAGTTCTCTTAATGATCTCCCACACCCCCCACGGGGTAGCCGGCAGCATGGAGTACTGGTCGAGGCACATGCGCCCCACATTGATCACATGAAAGCCATCAACGTCTTTGTCTGGAGACACAGCGTTACAAATCCTGCGCTCATCGATGTGTTCTGGAAGAGAACAAAAAGCTTTAACCCTAGGGATCGGCCAAAAGCCTGCTCTCTGCAGCCAGCCAGGGCCCTGACCTGCTGCACCAGCCCCTTCAGAGTTTGGAAGCTTGAAGCTGCTCCAGACTTCCAGCAAGCTGAGGGCTAACAGCTCCCAGCAGAAGGGGACTGGAAGCACTTTGGGACTGCAGCATTGCTCATGCTCAGAGGGTATTTTTAGGCAGCCTCAGCATCACAACAGAGTTCCAGCTTCTGGCTCTGGAAGCTGATACTCCCCACATGAGAACAGATTTCTGTGACTGCCCCCCCCAGCAACTTAACTCGTACAGGCAGCCACGTGCTGGAGTAGCTGCATCAACAACTTTAAGCTGCATCGTGGCAGAGTTGCCACCTCTCATGTCACAGGATAGCCCCTGGGCTGCCACTCCTCCTTCTGGCACACATAAACACTTAAAAGCTTTATGTCAAAGTGGAACAGATGGCAATCTCACTACTCACTGGGTAAAGGAAGCTGTACCAACAGGCCATCCACGTTGGCATCATTATTGAGTTTGCTGATCAAATCCAGTAGCTCCTCTTCAGTAATAGAAGCCGGCCTGAGGATTGTTTCACTGCTGATTCCTGCCCAATGATGGAAAGCACCATGTTAGAGAGCCACGTGTACACAAGGAGGAGAGCAACTTCTTTAATCCATGGAGATTCAAGCTGCCCCGTTTCACTGCTTTGCCAAACCAGGTAGGCACACACCAAGGATTGTGCACTTTGTGTAACAACGAGCACCTTCCAGGCTGGAGACCTTCACAAGTCTTGTGAGTTATGGTTAAGGACCATGAGTATGGGTCTAATGACCTGGGAAAGACTAACTGAAAGCAGGGAGTGCAGGGAGGGCTTGGAGAAACCTAACCGAAGCATGCTACAATGAAGATGCAACAGCATGTCCCATGGTTGCTCTTGACACAGTAAGAATGGGATGTGAGCCTAAAAAAAAAATTACAGCTCCAAAGGAGGCTTCAGGAGCATGGAACACAAGGAGAAATTAAACCATTTATTGCCCCCAGCCCCATGTTTTCTCCAGAAGCGTACTTGGCTGAACACCAAGCAGGACCTCGGCTTGCAAGACTGGAAGGAGCTGCAGGGGAACAAGGTGGCTGAACAACGACTGCATCTCAGGTAGTTGAGGAAAGGCGGCAAATCAGAGCCCTGTCTGGGCTTTATATGGCCCTAAGAAGACTGGAATCCCAAACTACAGAGCTGGATGTTGCCCTAAAGGATTCAAATGGCACGATGCAGATGCAAACGGTGCTGGGGTGCTGTTAATAAACACAACAAGGAAAGCAGCCAGAGGAGTCCCAGGAAATGCTGGGGCAAGCGTGGACTGCCACGCAGCCACGGTGAAAAGCTGCCAGATGGGTGCATCCCATAAAGCTTCCCCCAGCCTCCAGCCTAGAAGACTCCCAACAAAAGCAAGATAAACCAGTTGCTCGCTCCGCTGTTTCAGAACAGAGCGCAAGACATACCGACGTCTGCAGCCGCTTTGGTTTTGTTCAGCACATAGGAATGGCTGGCGGGATCTTCACCAACGAGAACGACGCTGAGGTGAGGTCTCTTGTTTCCAGCCGCTACCCATTGTTCAACCTCGTAACGGGCTTCCTGCCTGATTTGCCGGGCCAGCTTCCTTCCAGAAATCACAACTGCGTCATTTCTAAAACAGAAAGTAGCAAAAAAAACCCAAAGGTTACCGAAGCAGTCAGCATAGTCAGACCCATCAGCACAGGAAAAACAGAAGCAAACTGCAAGCCAGGGCAGAAAAGGCTCTTTTAGTCGAGCTTTGCACAAGCCTATTGCACCTTTGCGTCACATCATGTGAAGCAGCCTATTCCAGTCTCAGTTTACAGCTTTGCTGCCCAAAGCCAGGATCAGCAAAGGCCCAACTTATTTGTGCAGCCTGAGAAAGCGTACGCACCATTCTTCTCTGCAAGGCCAAGAGTCCACGCGCATCGTTCTCCCGGTGCCTGTTTCAAGCTAAGAGACTATTAGCTTCCATTTTTAGAAAGCCAGTCGCCTGTTCCTTGGGAAGGCATGAGAGCTTTGCTACAAAGGACTCATGTAAAGCAGCACTCGCTCCAGTTAAGTGGAGCTTCCACCACCAAAGAGGTCTATTGAGTAATTCTGGCTCGTCGGATGCAGCGCAGGAGGTACCAAGCGCTGTTCCCGGAGATCCTCGTCCCCCACAAATTCCTTGGCAAGACCGTCGGCCCATCTAGTACAGCACGCACCTTGCGCAAGCCAATCTCACACCCTCCCCTGCTCAAGTAGTTGCTGCCATCGCTACAGTTGTGTCTTCAGGCTGTTAAAGCTGGGCTGGGGGTATGCGGTTTCACACCCCCCCCCCCCAGCAGACTGCAGCACCTAGCTGGAGTAGAAGGGACATTTGCCCCTTCAAACCATGTCAAAACAGCGCCTCGCATACATCTCTGGTCTAAATTGGTAACAGGAATATCCAGTCACTGCCAAATGCATTCCAGGCAACTGGACACCCCGCAGTCTATAGCAAGGCTGGCCTGACCTCCAGCTCACTGGGAGGCCACGGCTGCCAGTCCCCGCTCACAACAGGCTGCCCACGCTTTTTTTTCTTCTTCAGGTTATCATCCTATTTGAACGTCATTCCCACTCGCCAATCCCTTTGCGAGAGGATTCACCTTCGCAAGCTTCACTTCTAGACTTCGCTACAGCATTTAAGCCTTGCTTTGCTGCAAGGCTTCGTGACAAGTGCCTTACTCGCTTGCCTGATTAGTCCTGCCTCTGAGCCGGAGCAGGCAGAGATGCTCCCCGCAAGCGTTCCCGTCATTTACGGTGCCTTCCCAAATCGCAATGACGCAGTTGCATCACAACGCCACAAACTACCCCATTTGCCACAGTAATCCAGGAGACGACCGACCCATGGGCACGGTTTCCAACCCCCCCACACACACACCGCACCATCCAACAGGAACAAGCCGAAATGCTGCCATTTCTCCTCCAAAAAAGAACCCATCCCTCAGCTGCCTGGTGCACAGAGCTTCTCCCACCAGGACCCTGCATTAAGTCCAACGCTGCTGGTTTTTGACCTTCTCCGGGTACAATCCTGCACAGGACAGCCACAAGCTACCATCCTGGGCAGGGAAGCCTTTTGCCTAAGTACTTGGAGGTGCAGAGGATCTTTTGTGCTTTTTTAATCCCCTGGCTGACTCAAGTATGTAGTTTTTCCCCCACTTACTGGGAATTAAGTGTTCCTTCATGCCTAACAGCAACAGCCCCACTTAGCAATAACCAGTAAAAACCCATCCCAGACCAGCTCAGCCCTCTAATTCTTGTTTTAGCTTCAGAGCTAAACCTGCGCTAAGATACTGTACATCCACTTAGAGGGAAAAAGGAATTATTTTGAGTGCCTGGCAAGCTAGGGAAAGGAGAATTCATGAAGTCAGACACACCTCATGCCAAGAAGCCCCCCAAAATCTTCCCCTTACGCAAGCCTGAGGCCAAGGTGCCCTGGGCTCCCAGGGGCTGGGGACAACCGCCAGCATCCGCCCTGGGAGCTAAAGGAAAACCGAAATTAGAACTCGGAGCCCTGTTTAGAGGGGGGAAGAGCAGCGAAACCAAAGCACCCGAGCGGCAGCAGCTCTCTCGAGGGGTTTCGGGGCATTAGAGCAAAATCAGAGCAAAATCCACGGGGGTCGGGGGAGAGATGGAAGGGGAAAGTCAGCGGATGCGCAGCCTGAGGCACGGGAGGGATGCTCGGGGGGCTCCGGTCCCTCTCCCGGCGCTTAAACCCGGGGGGAGGCCGGGGCTGGGGGCCCGAGGCCGCTCCGGGGG